AGTTATTTTGTCTTCCTTTCAAGATGTTTTACAACCAATGAAGAACAAAGTAATTTACAAAAAGAATGAGGAAATAATATTTATTTGTATGTGCATTCTCTATCTCTATTGTATCTCTTATTTTTGTGTTTGAATTACTAAGCTTTCTAATATAAGTGCTTCAAAGAAGATGACCGTTGCAAATCCTTGAGTTTCTCTCACATGATTTGCTTTGTCTATCATCATGTTTTGCTTCTTGAAGAGAGATGTGTCTATTGGTTCAATAAATGTTTGCATTAAATACTTTAACCAAATTGTTACTTCTTATTTGATCAAAGAAGCTACTTATCACCTTTATCTACCAAATTGGTAGAATCATATATGTGTCAGGTTGGCTCAATGTTGAAACAACTTTATTTATAACTTTTCGTATGCAAAGAACTGTTTGTCATTTTTTGATGTAAAATATGTCTTTCTTTCCTTTTTGTGAAGTGTAGGTACCGAGGAAACATTTTGGAGTTCTATTTGTTAAGAAAACATTCAGACATAGTCACTTTTTTTTAGAGATCATAAATGATAAAGATTTAATACATATTTCATTTTATAAATAAAGTTTTGTATGACTTAACTAAAGTAACAAGATCATCTTAGTGAAACTTTCGTCCAACTTTTGTCTTATAAGAGAATTCATCTTATTGGAAAATTGTGTCTTAGTGGGAAATTGTGTCTTACCAAAAGATTTATCTTAGTCATTTTGAAAATTTTTCTATTGATCAAAATCCTATTTGCTTGTTAACAGCAAAACCTTAAAATTAGAGGGATCTAAGATTATCTTTTGACCTAATAGACTCTATTTAGAACTCACCTTAAAATGAATAGTAAGAGGAATGCTCACTACCTTGGTCTTTTCCATTTGGTTTTTTTAGGTTATTTTAAAATGATAATTATTTATTTATTATTATTATTATTCAAAAGTAATAAAATTATTTTCGTAAAATAATTGTTACCAACGACGTTAGAGTTTTTATTTAATTATAAATAACATATCAATTTAATCTTCTGAATTTAGACATCTTAAAGAAAATAATTTATTCTTTTGTATACTAAAATTGTATGAACTTAATTTTATGTATTATATGTTTTGTACACTAACGTGCTTTATTTAAATATATTATTCCTATTTCTTTCAATTTTATTTCAAATGTTATTCCTAATTCAAAGAAAGCATTAGTCTCATGCATCTAAGTAACGACGCACTTGCACAACTGCTGTTATATTTTTAATTGTGTGAATGGCATTGGCGAGTGGAGAGGTGGCCCAATGGGGGGAGGAGGAAGGGAGCTAGTGGAGAGAGAGGAAGTGATGACATTTTTTATGCGGTTACATTTTTAATTGTTATATATATATAACGATTAATATTAACTGATGTAGAATATCATTTTTTTTATATATTGGTGGGATCTACATCAATTAAGGATGACAAAATAATTTGTATATGCGGATATATGAAAAAATAAAATCTGTCATAAATAATAAATGAGTAATTTAAATAGATGTTTATAGATAATAAATATAGATATTTTTTACTCGTATATTAACGAGGTGAGGATAGGTATAGTAATATTTATACATGTGGGTACTCCTTAAGTAAAATTATTTAAATATTTTATATATTATCTTGTATTTTTAATATTTTTTATATATTTCAAGAAAATTAACATTAAATGCAGGCTCAAAAATTAATGCCAATTATTTATCTTTAATATTTTAATAAAATTAATATTTACAAGCTTAAATTTATTTATAATATTTTAAAAAAATAAAATCACAAATACCCATAAACATCTACATGTATTTATAAAATTGATAAATACTCACTTAACAGATACCCGCATATGAGACAGATTTTTATCCAACGGGACAAGGACATGTATCGTACTACTCACCCCCATAGGATCTGTTCTTTCGAAATCGTTAGGATCACTGTATCTAAAGTATTGTCCATTTTGGTTTTCATTGGAGTGTTACATGGTTTTGCCTTTGAAAAAGTTCTAATTGGGTTAAGGGAAAATTAAAATATGCTTATAAACTATCATTGATCTTAACTACTAAGCAATGTGAGACTTTTAGAGGTATGGAAACAAGTCTACCAATTGAGGCTAAAGGACAAGAGTAACATAAGTCTTCCTATTAACAATCAAGGCTGAGAGTCAATGTTTTGATTGTAAATATGCAAAGATTCCTAGCTTACCACATTCGAGAGATTATATACTTTAATAGTCGTTGAGCTATAATGGTTTTAAACAGTGGCGGATCTTGGTAGTGACAGGGGGGAGCCACGGCTCCCCCAAACTTTTCTAAATCTTTATATATATATATATAT